AGTACTTCAGTAGCAAATACAAGTACAGAAACAAAAATTGATACTGAAAAAAATTGAAAACTGCATTTCTTCTAGTACTCTCCTGCTACTAAAAAATGGAGGAGTGAATACATATGGAATGGATGGATGACAGAAGAAATGAACTGAATGACAAAATTTTTATTTTATATTATATCTTATATGTGTATGTTTTTAATATTTCATTTTAATATTTTTCATTTTCCCAGTGGCATCAAAAGCAGCAAGCAAGACAGTGGTGGAGAATGAAAGCACGGTAATTTCTTTCTTTCTTTTTAATTTTCCTTCATCTTCTATACCTGATTTGAAGAATTATCTCAGATCTGTTCTCACAGAATATGCGTTAAGGACACATTGATTGTATCATGGAAAATTTGGATTGGATGATATCTGACTCTTGCTTTGTTTACACATTCTGAAAAAATGTAATGAGATAAAGAAAATTCATATCTGGATGACTGATAGACAAATACAGGTGTAAGTTTTTCTTATCTGTATGGCCTCTTTAACATTTGAAAGTATTTCACAAAGTTAATGTATTTCATGAAGATAATAAGCTCCCATATTCGTTGGCAATTGCCTTGTATTTTGTAGGTAAAAATATCTAGTAAGCTCTTGGTAACAGCAGCTCAGTTGTTCCTTCTGCAAAGTTAGCACATATTTTCACCCGTTTGTAATTTATTTCTAAATGACAGAAGAATGTTGGTTAATTTGATGAAATGTTTAAAATGTGGAAGGCAACATTCATCAGGGTCAAAGTATTTAGCGAGACAAAAAAAAAAACAAAAAAAACCCACAACAAAAAACTGCTTGTTACTGTCAATAACTGTACTTGTATATTTTTAGAAAGATAATATCTGGCAACAGCTTTACTAAAGTGTACAGCCTGGAAATCCAAAGCAGTATGATTTAACAGTAATATAACTACATATATATATATATGCATATATATTATATATGTATGATAATATAATTATATATATAATATAATATATAATAATATGTTATACATTTAATTTTTCAAATGGGTATGTGGTGTATCATAAAAGTTATAGGTAGTTTGATTTGGAAAAATATATTTGTTTATACTCTGACAATAGAACACAAGTTTGAGTTTGAATCCTACCAATATTGCTTGTTGTTTTATTTGAACAACATGCTCAAGTGTAATTACTTTAAATATTTAATTGAAATAATTAAAAATTACTAAAAACTATTTAAACAATATTAAAATAACTAGAATTGTGATATTTCTATTAGCCATAAAAAGCATGTAAGAAGAGTTTCAATGTGTAATGCATAAAACTTCATTGTGAAAGATTTCAGTTACTGCATACTAAACTGTATTAATATTTTCTAGAAAAACTGGGAAAGGACAAGGACATTCTACTACATTTTTTTTTGAGAATCTTAAAGATTCTGATTTCCTGTAATTTCCAAGGAGTAGTTATTCACCAATTAGACAACCAAATTCTGCCTGGGTTGGGGACAAAAGTCTCCTTTTGGTTTCAAATGCTTGTTGATAGGAGCTCAGTTTATAGCAAGACACGGCTCAAGCCTGATTTTGATGAGGAAATATAGATTTGTAGCTGAGTAAGAATGTAAGACTTACAGAGGAGGAAGAGTAGTCCTTTTTATAAGCTGTCATGTGCCTTGCAAAAACGTGCTCAATAATATTGGGAGAGAGATTGTCATACAGTGTGAATACAGTCATAGACATGGCTATAGGATATTATCACTGTCCAAAGGAAGAGCTGTAATGCTTCATTTGCTTACCAAACATCTATTCAGAAATGGCTGACTTCATGTAAACATTCATTATTAACCAGTAGCAAAATATATTTTTCTGCAACATGAAGACTACTGAGCCTGAAGAACAAGAGCCTCAACTGGACATTTTGTTCCATCAGAACAAAATATTTTGGCTTCTACAGTAAATTGCACGTGTGAAGGTTGTAGAATATGTAGTCCAACTATTTTTTCAAGTTTTTAATGCGTCAGCTCTAATTGTTATTACCATACACATTATAACTCAAGAACCCTGATTTTTTTTTTTCTTTTTTTTTCTTTCTTTTCTTTTTTCTTTTTTTTTTACGGAAAAGGTCACATCTTGTCTGGACAATTTGCTCAGAAAGCAATAACAAGACTGGTGTTTAAGGTAGGAGGCACAAAGCATGAGTTTCTTCTATGCATGCATTTCTTCTATTTCTTCTATGCTAATTCCACATGGAAGAGTAAATCTAGCTATATGTGCTTTGATAGCTAGGCTTATAGATACAGAGAAGTCTGCTATAACAATTCTTTCCCTATATGTCCAAAAATCTGCAAAGTTTTATTGTTCAAAGAAGGTATATAGACCTCAAATATGCATTGTTCTACTAGAGACATTCTGTTCAGAAGTTGTTTTTCTACAACTATACTTAGTAATAAAAATGAGTTCAGAAAAATGCATGGAGTATAATGCTGTCGAGTCTTCAGTGAGGCTGGCTAGGAACCAGCAGTGTCATGTAGAGATCTCTGTATTCCCTAATTAGGATATTTCCATGGCTGGACCTACAGACCTTGGGGAGCAGCTGCCAATCATTTATTATTCTCCTTTCCATGAAAGTCAGACAGAAGGAGATGAGAGCTGAGGTGGAGGAAATTGAAGGACAGTAATTGGAAGTTCATTCCTCAGGATAGTCTCACTGGAGAGATCAACAGAGTTTAAACTGCAATTTTTTTGAGGACAGATTTGGTTCCTTTACTTTCTGCGTTTACAAGATATCCTTATCCTGCAAGATTACAATTTGCTACTCAACCACATACCATGTGTTATTTTTAAACTACTATACACATGGCACCTGTCTTTTTTTAATCCTATAGTCAACTTTCAGATAATGGAAACTGGTATAGCTACTACTTATAGCTCCTGGTGTAGCAAATATGTTTCCTGTTGGTCTACACAGACGGAAAAATGGTATATTTGCCATGACTTCAGTGTGGGTAAAATTTTAGAACTTCAATTTTACATGTGAAAATAATTGACTAAAAGAAGGAAAGAAAAGACAGTGATGTGTAAGGGGGGAACCGTGAGCCACACATTCTTATATAAAAATTTTTGTTTCTTATTTTTTGTGGTTTTGTTTGTTTGTTTGTTTGTTTCTATTTTTATTGACTTGTTGATTAAATAAAATTCCTAAATAAATAGACACTGCTTCTTTTAAACTATCTCAGGAAGTCTGACACAAAGTTCATAACAGGGGCAAAGGCATGCAAAGTTTCTTTGTTTTAAAATTGCTTATAATTCAGTTCCAGAATTTTAGAAGACAATGTCAGATAGTTTCAAATATAAGTCCTGTAATGGGTTCTTAACTAATGAACGCTGTTGATTTTAATAGAAGATGATGATGCACAGCATAGATTGGATTCTCATTTCTGGTGTTGTGTGCTGTTTCAGTTTCATTTTTCAAGTGTATGCTTCTTTACTCAGAAAGAATTATTAAAAGTTGTATATGTATCTGAAGGAAATACTTTATGATCATACAAGGAGTAGAGTTTATTTTTAAAAAATCATACTTGTGATTAATATTTATTTGAGTCAACTGCATATTTTAAATCAGCTCTAGCCTCTATCCTTTGTTTTCCTGTTTTTGATCCTGACCAGTACATTAATAAACAATACTGCAGATATGAGAAAAGTATGAAATATAACTTCTATGACTTAGTGGGTACAAAACTGTTACCTAATTATGGAATGACAATTTAAGTGTGATGTAAAAGATAGAATAAAACCAGATTGTTTAGAGAACTTAAGCTGAAACTGAGTAATTCTGATATAGAATAACTAGGAGTAGGTTAAATTGGAGTGGGCTGCAATAACATTCACTTTGTAGTTGCATACTTAAATACAGGAAATCACACAAAACAAGATAAAAGTTATATATATATATATATACATATATATATATATAGTTTAAAAGTTAGATACATATAAAAAAATAAAAAGACAATCACAATCAATAATAACAACAACAAAACTTAGTGTATATTTGCAGTGTTTCTGTTTGATATGAAGGTAGCCATATCATAAACTTATACAACATAATTCAAAGCCAATCTTTAGTTTTCTAGGATACAGCAGACTTTTTCCAATTTGTGTAGGTTCATCTGCATAAAACTTTAAATATAATGCATTTTTGTTTCCATTTTTAATAGATACACATCAATTGATTCTTCCATAAACAGTGGGATTCCCTACCATATTTTTTTACCTCATAGTAGAATAAACAATTTCTTCAGCATTACTATATAATATGTACCTTTACTCACAGTTTCAACCTTATAAAGTGGAGAAATTCAGTCCCTCAAGAAGGCTCCTCTTATTTGTTTAATTATTTTTGTAGGGAATTTCAGACTATACTCTTAATTCCACAGTATTTTTAGATTATACACAGGAGCAGGATATAAGCAAGATCAGTCAGTCAGCATTTATGTGTCCATGTAGAAATACATAGTTTATTGGTATTACCTGGACTAGGTTAACTGCCTAAGTATATTTAAAATGAGAGATTGGTGTATTTAGTGATTCTTTAATAGTGGTCTAATCTAAAGGATTTCAAACAGTTAAAATTGTCATTAAGGAGCTAACACATACTTGCTGAATATGGTCAACAGTAAGAAGCTGAAATCAATAAAAAGACAATTAAGATATTCCACATTCCATCCAAATAAGTATATGCAATACAGTACACTATTTCCTAAAACAAACAAAAACATTGACTTGAAGTTCTTTGTCTAATTCTCCAAAATATAACTTCAATCATTAATTAGTTCCTCTATTCTCAATTTTGGACAACCATCACACTTAATTTGGGAAAATATCTCCTGTATGATTTATATGAAGAACTGCCAACACGTCAATTTATATATTTATTTTTAACCACAGAGGTTTTGCTGTAGTATAGGCGAGAAGAATCATTACTGTAAAACAAATTTCTTACCTCTGATGGATGTCCAACTCTTATATAGGTACAAACTGGATCAAAAGCTCCTGTTCCACAAGCCAGAAGATGTGTTCTATTGTATCGGTGAAGGACACGGATGTAATTAGCACATTCATCCTAGTTCACATAAAATATAAGAAAATCTTAGCATTTCTGTTAAAAACAATTTAAAAAAAAATATGTATTTTTTAATATCTTAGGTATCAAATCATGTTCTTCATAATGAGAATTTCTTTTCTGTTATTTATAAAATTTTAGTTCTCCCACTTTATCCTACTACTTCAGTCTCACCAAATCCATGAGTGGACACTTACAACATGTTTAGAAGGAAGTTTAGAGCTCTGATTTATCACAATTTACTCTAGGCACTTAACTAGTCAGGAGTGATTAAATTGTAAAACATATTTTGTGTTTCTTCAATCTTAGATACATTTCACAAATCTAGATATTTGTTTCATTAACTTTTATTACATGCAGTAGGCATTAAAATGAGAGCAGGACATATGAACAGTCAACAAATGGCTTATTTATCAAGTGAACTTTATTTCAAGAAAGTAACACTTCATTTTCTTTTTCCATAAGACTACTGCATTTGTGTGTGTCTGTATGTGTGTAATGCATTGCTAATCAATACTTTTTATATTGTATAGCCTCATGCTTTTTTAAGTTCCACCATTCAAGCTCTCCTTTGAAGAAGAAATTATTCAGTTTCCCTAAAGCAATACCCTGGGACTCATTAGTATATTTGCAGCTTCATAAATATTACAGTTAACAAACTTACAAGCATTGTTTTGAGTTGTGGGGTCATTACAATTCCTAAACTAGAAGTAGAGACTGAATAAAGTTATTTATTTTGGGACTTCACTGACTTAGTTTATCGGGGTTTTTACCATTATGTAGTATTTTCTGTGTGCGAAGAAATAATTCTATTCATTTTCTTTAGTTGTGTGATCTTTCTATTACTCAGACCCTGGGTTTTAAGATGTTAATACCAAGTGTAAGGCAATTGTAATGAGATTAATCTCAGCTAACTATAGCCATTCTGAAGTTTTTGGTTCTAATCTAAGCTTTTCTTCTAGATGCTTTCAGTAGTCAATAAAGAAGCTCATATATCTCCAAAAAGCAAATAAATCTATCCTAAAATTAGTGTGTAAAAGAGAGTGGAGGGATTTCATTTTGGAAATTTTTCTCTCCTTCACTCCAGTTTTCAGACTAGATGAGAAAAATCTTGGGTTTTAATGCCCATCTGCAAGAAGTTAATGTCCCAAAGAGTAAGTCTGTAGTGGAGCCATGGAAAGAATTCACACAGCCACATTAGATTCAAAACTAAGAAACTGCCTTTCTTTTTTCTTCAGTCCTTTGCATCATTCAGTGCAAGTGTTCAAATTTATGAAACAACAACAACAAAACAAACAAACAAACAAACAAACAAACAAAAAAACCCAACTCATATGGAAAAACTATCCTTTGTAATATCCTTTAAATATCTTTTAAATAGCCTTAAAATGAGAGGATATATCATGGTAGTTGAGAGTTATTTTTGCCAATAGGATGGTTGACTCAAATATAAGGGCTTCAAACAAAATCATGGAGAAAAGAGAGTTATCAGCAACCCTGCAAAGGAGTGATGGAAAAGGTCAATGAACACAGGCATCTAGTGATGTGACAGGAATTGGAACACAAAATCAACAAAAAGGAGTCACTTTCAGCACTTGAATGTAAACAAGGAAGTATCTAACAAAACCACTAGGGAGAAATGCCCCATAAACTTTCTAGAAACGCAGCATGCTGGAGTGCCTCTCAGTTCCTGTAGGATAATGCATGCAGTATGAACAATAAAGATGATGAGTTAGGGATGTGCATGCAGTTGCAATACTATGATGTTGCTGTCATCATGGAGATTTTGTTGGATGGCTGCCATGAGGGAGCGTTGCAATGGGAGGATGCAGGCTTTCGGGGGAGGGTAGGAAGGGGATCTGTTGCAGGAGGTGAGATAAAGGGGTGTTGCCCTCTATGTGAGAGAGCAGTTAAAGTGCACTGAGTTCTGCCTGGAGACGTATGAGGAGCCAATTGAGAGTTTATGGATTAAGTTTAAAGGGAAGACAGGGATAGGTGACATTATCACTGATTCATGCTCTCGGTGACATGAAAAAGTAGAATGAATAGATGAGGCCTTCTGCAGACAGATAGGGGCCTCACATTCATAGGATCTGATTCTCATAGGAGACTGGGCATTTGTGCACCAGCTACTTTTTTACATGTGCCTGCTTCACTTGGCACTGATGCTCTTCCCTCTGTCTTCGCTCCCCCCCAAGTATGACCTTCCTGACTTATAGCCCTCTGTTCTGCCTCTGTGCTGTTGTGCTATTTTATCCATGGTTTCTTTTTGTTATCCACATATCTCTTCATCTTTGTCTCAGAAGAGATTTAGAAGGAGAGAGATCTTAGGATTATTTTTCTCTCTGCGTGGGTTACAGATTTTTTTTTTCTACATGTCTTCATAGAAATGCCTGACATTTTCTGCAGATAAAAAACAGGATAAGACAGACACCAAATATAGAAAAAGTAATTCCAAATGGCTAGGCTTTATCAAAATTATATACAAATTGGAAAAGGTGCTATTCTGGGATCCATCAGACAAATAGTTTTTGCTTCTGGCCCCTCTAATAATATCCTATACACATAAGAAGGAAGAGATGCATCACGCAGGAGAACATTAAAATAAGTCATCTTCCTACTTCCTATTTAAACAGTTAAATATTGTGGTTGTTTTTAGGAGACTGCTTAGATGCATTATTAGATCAGTGGAATTTTATTAATCTGAAGTTTCTTGGTGCGAATGTTAGTCATAACAGAATTTGATTTTTATTTCTGAATGCTGATTTCCAATGCTGATAAACTACTTGAAAGGATCAAAAGTTCTCACACTACAGGCCAACAGGTATGTTTCCTGGCACACTGGATAAAAGTTTTCTGAAACTGTATTTATGACTACAGTATTTGAAGTTTTACTGCTACAATATCTACTGATAACCTTATACAGGTTGTAAAAGCTTATCAAAGTGCCCTGTTGTTTAATAAATATGGCTAGTAAAGAATGTGTAAAGTTTCTCAACACTGAAATGCTTATTATCAGTCTTGCATAATATTATTTGCACAGTTAGCACCAGATATTTTTTTTAAAGAAAAATAAAGAAGAAAATAGCATGGAAATAATAAAGAAGTCTTTGAAAGCTAGTTGATGAGTATTTTTTTTCTCAGAGACTTTATATTGTGAAAAATAGAATTCTGAACTTACAAATGTCAAACTGTTGATTTTAAGCTGTAATGCCATTAAGCCAATATTCATTTATGGTTATTAAAAAAAATAAAAAAAGGAAGATGAAAAGGCAAATAATAGAAAATGTTTTGTTTGCAATTTAGCTTCTTTTCAGGTTGAGCAATTGCAGAACACTAAGTACTGAGCCTGCTAATGAAAATTACTAAGGATTCCATGGAATTAATTAGCTGTACCCATTCAAGTTGTCCCACGCATAATTAGGAGTCACACGGAGATCAGAATATTAATTGGTATTGTTTGGTATTAAAATATTTACAGTTTTCACAGTTTTAATGTCTTTTTCTCAGAGCCTCCAATTCTGGAGTCTTGTGTTTTGTGTTTTGTTGTTGTTGTTGTTGTTGTTTTAATTCTGTGCTTTTCTTTTTAAAAATTGGGGCACCTGACTTCCACATTACATGGAAAATATGGGAAACATATTAATTTTTTAAGTTATCACGTTCCTTCCAGTGCATATTTGAAGGCACACTAGCAGACTGGATTTTAAAAGATTTCAAATTTCAGGGAATCTCATGAATCTGAGAGGGAAAACTTTACATTACATTGGAACACCCATAACTATTTATGTATTTATTTAACCCAAATAATATTTTCAAAATATCAGAAAATACATCTAACGTGTAGCGTTGAAGGAAAGGTAGCAGGGCTTTAACAGTAGTAACAACTTATGGCTAGGGATCATATTAAATAAAACTGAAACACTTTATGTTTTGGATTCATTTAATATGACCATGAAGTCCAGATAATATAGAAAAACACTATATTCAACCAAAGGCACCTGAAAATCTCAAGGCTCCAAAAACATCCAGAAAAATGCAACGAACTACTAATATAAATACAAAATGATCAGTTCTAAGCCAGGTTAGTGGGAGGAGTAATATACTATGCTGTTGTTTTTATTATTATTATTACACTATTTTCCATCTGATTCACCCATTCTCTTGATGTGGGCATTTCGAGAAAAATTTTTATTGCTTCCTAGACTTCACTCTGAATATGTGGTGGTTATCATCAAGGCTGTTTGTTTGCTGTACTTTTGTGGAAAGCATTGTGCTGGTCTATGTTCCTATCACTGTTGCTGTAAAACTATCATCATTATCAAATTGGTGTGAGCTCTTGCAGCTGTGAGATTTACTAGATGTCTAATGTGCTCTGTTTTTATGAGTTGCAGATAATGAGCTTGGTGCACTGCAAAATTATAGAGAGGTTCCATCCAGAAGAACTTTCATCCTGTGGTATAAATGATACCAGACGCTGTGTGTCGGTGAGCTTTCATGTCTTTTTCTGGGAAATGATTAAAGTTTAAGCATTGAATCACAAGAACAGTAGAGTTGGGCTCATTAAAATACAATATTTATATTGGTATTTCAGAAAACCTGTGGGGCAAAAGAACACTTTATAATTACTGATAATTTTGTTACTTTTTTAATGTATTCTAGAGATTCCAAATTTTAAAAATTATTTGGAATGTGAAACAGTCTAAACACAAAAGGTAATCTATGTGTATGAAAAGAAAGAGAATAAGAACTGGGAGAAGGGAATTACTACGGTACCTTCCTTGGTATCATTAGAAAAAACATTAGGAGAAAGTTCAAATGATCAAAATGTTCATTGTCTGTTTATGAGCTGTTTTGAAAAGCAATTAAACTAATAATTTAGTATATTTGTGGTGGTTACACAATTTTAAGCATCAACACACAATTATGTCTCTGCTTTGATCTGCCTGAAAATTAGACATTCCTGAGTACTAGTTTTGGATGAGCAAAAGCTATAATTTGGATTACTTATAACAGATGATACTTACAGCATCTCTTCCTTTAATTATGCATTCTTCTGCTTGAAGACGTGTACTAGGCCAATGGATCTAAAAAAAGAACACAAAAATAGAAAATAGTACAATTTGTAGTCTGATGTTAAAATTTTTTCACTATTTTTCATGTGAGACTCTTTTATTGTATGTTATTACATTTAATCGAGCTTCTATTACATTTTGAACAGATTTCAAGCCAAATAATTACCCTCTAAATATCAATATAAGTGTGCAATATAATAGATATTTTGAATCATGAAAGTTTTGCTTGGGTTAACTCAGCTAAATTAATACTAGTAGACAGAATACAAACACAATATATTAGACAATTTATATAACAGCAGTAGAAATGTTGTTTATAAATTTTCAGTGACTTCCAACAATTTCCCATAAAGAATTAATTTTGAACTACTGATTTCCTGCTTTTAGTGGCACTTAGGAAAGAAACTGGTTTATAGAAGGCAATTATTTGCCTTCTAGGAGTAAGATCAGCTCTTCAGAGTCTATTGCTGAATGTGAAGCCAAATTATGCAACTAGAATATTTTTTCAGTTATCTATTGTATAAAATTTATTTTTCATTACAAATGCATGATTTGTTTGGATCAAAACAATGTTAAACAATGACTGAGCAGACTGGAATGATTACTTCATTTCTTAGAATTTTTAAAAGTGAAAACAAAAATGTTCACTTCAGTGATATCTGGCTTGGCTGAAATCCAGTAACTGTGAAAAACTGTCTCATCATTAAGACATTTTTGTCAGTAGTGTTATTGTTGTTGTTCTAAATTAAATCCTTCTTCTCTTAAACTTTTTGTGCAGTTGTATTAATTGAGCTTTCTTGAAGTAATTCTAACACCCAAAAATCTAAGCAATTGTAATAAATTATAAATTGTAGAAGTGTACTAGAAAGTGTTTGACATCACAGAATCATAGAATGTTTTGACACAGAAAAGACTTTAAATAGTATCAAGTTCCAATCCTCCTGCCATGGACAGGAAGACCTTCCATTAATCAAATTGCCCAAATCCCTATCCAGTATGCTCTCAAACACTTTCAAGAATGGAGCATTCACTGATTTTGTTTTGTATTTTTTTGTTGTGTTTTTTTTTGCCTATCAGTGATGCAAGAGAATGTTAGGAATGAAGAAACTGAGAAACCACATCATGAATGAAACACTTGACTCTGTAGCCTAATATAAAATATATTGTTTGTAGGTGATTGTATTTGGATACTTAGTCCCAGTGCAGTTCAAAATATTTTATATGCATATTCTCCACTTAATGGATGCTGAATTAGATGCATAAACACAATTAAGGGAGAGACAAAACTCCAGGATATAACTCAATTTTCACCCCTTGTCTGAAAGTTTGACAAGTGGCTGCAGAGTAAGCAACAAAGCTTTGTTCCATAACATACTCTGAAGAGAAATGGGGGATGTATGCCTCTTGCAGAGGTGAAGGGCTTTGCCTCCTGAGTGCACTGCTTTCATTAAAAGGCTCATGAGCAGCAGGAGCTATGCTATATCTCTGTATCTACCACTTCTACTGTGGATCTGCTTTCTAAAACTGCCTCCTGCACATTGTCTTCTGCAAGTGAAATCCTGTTTCTGTTGTTGGCTCAGCGATTGTGTTACCTATTGGGATACATATCATTGCTTGTTGTAGCTAAGGGTGCCTAATGAAAGGATAAATATAAGGGATCATCTCTGTACCTTTTCCAGCAGGTAAGAAGAGGTGTAGAAATCTATCTTGGATGCCTATAGCCATTTATCTATCTCTAAGCCAAACCAATGTTTAATGCCCAAAGTTGCTCCTTACAAGGCTGATGAGTCTCAAAACAAATAGGCATTAAGATTTTGATCTCTTCAAAATTCTTATAGACTAGAAGCTAAAATAAATTGTCTTTTCTGTCATAGGAAATATATATATATATATATAAAAGAATCAGAAAAAAAGCTAATTTATTTATTTTAATCCTGAAAACAGAAAAGCTGTTCAATCTGTCAATCTATGATCATTTGCAAAGAAATTGATGGTAAATGCCTCAAGATAGTAACATTACATTAAAGGGTATTTGTGTAATTATTTCATTTTCCCTTTTTTTGGGATAAATGGGTTATGTCTGTGCTGCATGGATATCCAGATATTAGCCAGCTGTAATGGTAGCCTTTAACTTGCCACATGTATGTTTTCCTAATGTTTATGCTTTCATGTTATGAAAACTACCAACCTTAACTTTGAATTGGTTCTTTGCCACAATTAAAATCTTTTGGCAAACTGGTAGTAACAAGTGTTGGGAAATTTTTGTGTGCATCTAGACTGGAATAACATCATACTAACATAGATTTCACAGGTCTGCAAACTTGATCTTTTATTTGGACATAATTATTCAAAACTTGTCACCACTGCAGACTACTGTGAAGTAAATTTTTAAATTGCTTGTTTAATGAAAGTTTCTCATCTTGCACTACAAAACTATTATCCTTGATAACTGAATGGTATAATTATAGCTGGTATAATTTTTTTTTTTTTTAAAGCTATGTTTAAATATATTCTTCATAGACAAAAAAGAAAAAAAAAAAGGAAAAAAGAAATCATAGGGCAATACAAATGATAGCTACTGAGTAAATTCAGAGAGGAACCAAAATTTAATTGGATCTGGAATCTTAATTAGTATTTCCAAACAGCTTTCCTGTTCAGTCATTAGTCTCAAAAAAAACAAGATAGCATGTCTAATGAAAGCTAATTTCAGGAAACTATATGAACTTTATAGCACTGTTAGCTAAAATGGACTACTGTGTGAGCTAGTCTGAACTCTAGGATATTGCAGAGCAACTAAGCAATTGAATTAGTAAATTGTGCTTAATGAACACATAGATTGTTTTTGTCTGAGACACAAATTCTGAAAAAAATAACTGGTTTTGTGTGTTAGATGTTATTTGTATTGACATACATATCATCTTAACTCTCAGGAATTAATTCCAGGGAATAATCAAGTTCACTGCTAAATCACATACTTCTTATTTCCATTTGTATATTTTCCTATGTGATATTCAAAGGAGATGCAAGCAATGCCTGCTCTTGCAGCCTTGTGTTCAGCTGAAGTGAAAATACAGTTAGCTCTACCAGACGTAAGAAAGGCATTATATATTGTAGAGGTTCTATTGCATCTTGCAATGTCTGTATAAATCCTAATCTGAAGTTATCTCATAGTGGACCAGAAACTGCACATTGAAAGCTGTCTGCAGGAATGCTTGTCGTAATAGCAAGCCCTTTGTGAGCACTTTGAAGAAGCAGCTATGATAAACAGCTATCTGTAAAGAGTTTTTGGACAAATAGGGAATATATTTTAATTTCCTTTCTACAAGAGAATAAGTAGAATCAACAGTTATCCTTCTCTGTGAGCTTTTAGATCACTTGCAGTGAGCTGCCAGCATTGATTCATTTGCTGTCGAAAAGATCTGCTCTGGTCATCAATAAAATTAACCTTTTAAAATTGGCACCAGATATCAAATAAGTTCTCTATCAGCTTGTTACATCATTACAGAACTTAAATACTTTGGATCAAATCCCAAATGTGTATAATGTTTGATTCTAAAAGTGGTGTGAAAAAAAAAAAAAATTATATCTGGAGAGAAAGTAAAAGTCACATGGAGGGAACTCTGAAGATTTGCCTTTACATATGATTTCAAATACTTGTCTGGTTTTAATTCTCTGTAAATGCTAATATCCACATTTCAAAGACAGTAGCTTTGTTTCAAAAGTAAGACATATTAAACACTGTAAGCAAGATAATTTCTGAATACCATAAGAAAAGAGAGAAACAACAAACAAATACAAATAAAAACAAATACAAAGTAGGCTAAAGAATATGACCAGTGAAGAACTGAGATACATAGAAGGACTATGCCATAGTTGAAATCTTAACTCAGAATTCCAGATTTCCCAGACAATGCAACAGGAATAGTTTTCTTCTCTGAGAAATATTTTGCATTTGCACTCATCTTTTCTTTAATGTGTATTAATGCTGCTCTGAACAATAGGTGCCTAGTATAATTTTGGTAGGTATATACACAAACAATTAATAGTATACCAAAAGAAATCTCTGATCTATCTTTCAGAGTGCTTCTTCATGTCTGACAGCTGAACTGTGCTGAACCTTCAGAAACTTAAATCTGTTTATTAAATGCAGATTTATAGGATACATATCTCATATAAGATGAGTTTTTTGGAAATGCTGGATTATTTTGGCAGACAATAATTCTCAAAGAAAAGGCAATGAAGTCTATCCAAAGATGCCAAATATCTGAAATAAATATGTCTTGCATCCCAGAGAGAGAATAAAACCCAGAAACTTGCCTCCTTCTTACATTTTTGCCAGGTTATAACTGGTATCTTAGATTAAGTAAACTAAAATCTTCAGTTAGAAAAAAAAGGTCGAAGGCTAACCAACACATAGTTAAAAGAAGCTTAATATAAAACTTTGATAATGATGAATCAACATATCTCTCTTTTTTTTTTTTTTTTTTCCCCAAGAACTTTCCCTAGCATATCTCATTAATTAAGCTCTAACATAACATAAATGTTTCATTCTAGACTTTTCCTGATATCGCAGTGGGACACTTAAATTTTCCCCAGCTATCACTGAATGAGATCTGTGCTGAGTAAACGTTGGGAAAAGAGAAAAGGAATATGGCAAGGGAGCTGAGACACAGTGAGGTCATGTTTCCAAATGTGTAAGGTCAAGCTCCATTTATTCCAGTGTCTCATCTTTTGCACATCATAAAAGCAGGCATGCAGAGCTTCTATTAATTTGTCATGTCCTGCACACAGGTCTCAAGATAGAGAATATAGTTTCAGAGTAAAGAGCTGATCTTCTATCTAAAAACAAGATATAGTGAATTGAATTTAAGAGTGTATCCAGATGAGACAATGGTGGTGGGACAGAATGTAAAATATTATATCCTATCATCTTTCTTCATACAGATTTACTACCAAACGGGAAAGAAGAGGAGGGAAGAAAATCTCTTTTTATAAAAACAGCTGCTTCTTAAATGTCTTCATATCCCTGACCTCTAATATCATGTCACAGGATATTAATAATTTTTATCAAAAGGAAAAGGAGTTTACTTATACCTCACTGTGCAGGAACACAGCTCACTATGTAGTAGTGCACTCCAAGGAGTTAAAAAGTGTTGTTTTAATATATTTTGTTTAGATAAATTCTCAGACAGTCTGAGTGTTCCCATTTCTCTATGTTACCTTGCAAGATTACCTTGCTGAAACTGTTTATAAAAAGGATAAAACATATCCTTTCACAGTCATGGAGCAAAGGGAGGTAAGAAAGGCCCCTTAGTGCAAAGCTGACTGGGGTGTTGGCATGATAATATGTTATTCACTTACAAGTAGGGGAAAAAACAAAATAATTTGATACATAAGCCTAGTGATCATTGGAGTACTAAGATTAACAAAAGTAATTTTTCTCTAAAGTACTTTATTTACTTGCATTTTCATTCATTTAATCATTTGAGAATGAATGAAAATAACATCAAAACTCATGGAAAAAATTTTAAAAACCAGGAAAGCTGAAGTATTTCAAAGCATCTTTTATTCTTAGTCAGCATGATTGTGGAAGGAGTGGTGGTCCCACAACCTCACTTCACCACCACATGCCTCCAGTGTAGCAACCAAGTGCAGAAGGAAGCCAGGGCCCACATCAACAAATACTCAAGTCTCTTTACTTCAGTTGCCAGTTTGCCAATCTACTGTAGTATCTATTATGTACCAAGCTCACTAGTACGATTATGACACGAACCACCCTTCTCCCACAGATCTCTGAGTAGACTTCAAATGAAATTTTCAGTCAGTATTTACCAGCACTGGCTTTTAGCCAGTGATGTATTTTCTAAAGAGAGGTAGAAAATAATCAAAAGATTTTTGTTATACTTTATTTACTTTTCTGGGGGATGAGGGGAGGAGAGGGTGGGTGTATGCATTTGGTGTTTTTTGTGTGTTTTTTTTTTTTTCTTTTTTTTTTTGTGATAGAAAAACTACACTAATAGAAGGGAAAGATCATTTCTTAGTTACATGTCAGAGATGTAGACATCAGGTGTGTATAAGGTGCTGTGTGATGTTCTAAATTTTAGTAGACATTCTGAAAAACAGTGAGAAAGAACTTTCAGTGTCCCCCAGCTCTCTTCACTGAGAGTGACCTTTATGAGATATTCCTGGAAATGAAATGATAATTGACGTATTTTTCTTACAGATAAACATGACGCTAAAGTTCATGCACAAAACGTCAGTGTTTACAAGAACACCATTATCTCATTTCCAACCATGCAAACTCTGATATTCTATGCTATGCATTGTAACACAAAGTGACAAACATATACATCTTTTTACTCCACCTCTCGGTAGTTGTTGCTGATTCGATCCAAACTGAGGGAGTACAAGAGGTCTCTTCCTCCCACGAACAGTCGCTCTTGATACTCATCCAGGAGCATTATATGAAGACCAAGATATCCAAATGGGCTATGAAAGACTGACGTCCTGTTTAAATCCCAGAGCTCTGAAATGCAATCAGAGTGTGCATGATAAATACCAAAGAGCTTAACATCATGGCTTCATTTTCATATTCTCCTAGGGAACTAGACAAGAATTTGTGAGACATTAAAATGCTAATCATATAATCTTTGAGTAAGAAAGAGACACAAAACACCTGGGAACAATTTTCAAAATGAGCCAGCTCTCTAGGAGACTTGCATGTGAATCTTTACATCATAATCTTTGTGCTCAATATATCAAGAGGTGAGGATGGGAGAAAACAAGCTTTCTCCAAAACATTTTCTGAAAAGGAAAAAACACTGCTTAGGACATTAACTGTAAATGTGAAGAAAGGAATGAACTGATGCAAATTGAAAAATTACTGGAAATTTTTTCCTTGTCTTTCACTCAGGCATGTTGAACTGCAGGCATACTGTATGCACAACATTGTTCTACTTTTGTTTTTTTGGGGGGATTCCATTGATTTTTTTTAACCCCGGCACCATCTCAACTTAGTTCATGGAAAATATTGCCACTAAATTCAGTGAGAAGAGTTCAGAGTCTGTAAAATACATATTCATAATTTTCCAAGTGATTATTGATTTTGTCAGGAAATATGTTGAAGTGTTAAAGCAAGTTGGGGTTTAGCAGTATTTGGTCCAGGCTAAACTGACATAGAGAAAGTGAAATTCATCCTGTGTAATGTTGCAGAAACTTGGAATCAGGCCCCAAGAAGAATGAAAGAGGCAAGCAACCAGGTCCTTCTTCACTCTTGAGCAGATGGTGCAGAGCACAGTCTGGCGTGCATCAGTTCAGAGAGGCTGACAATCATTTTGCTTTGGGAAACCTCTAGAGAATTCATTACAGAAAGTGCCCTAGAACTGCATCAGAAAGAGCAAAGTTGGGAGTGAAGAAAAGGAACTAGGTTCCTTTGGCTATATTGTGATGAATTGTTTTATTTAGAAGAAACAAAAGTCACTCTTGATAAAAGTGACCAAATTCCCTTCAGTTTATCCTCAGAACTATCCTTACTTGAAAGAAATTTATCATTCAATAGGTATATTAGTATAAATTTTATCATTTTAATAAGAAATTTAGCATTCATTAAGTAGCTGAATTCAATCCAACTGACATATTTCCACAACTCATTTTCATTTTAGATTATTATTTATATGTGTGGTGATGAAGCAGTTTAGTAATTCAGTAACTATGTTTTGTTAAAGTTGGCCAAGTTCAGTTCAGGAGAGGCCAAAAGCAACTAGTTTCTTCAACTGGTTTCCCTAGATGATAAAATTTTTATTAAAGGAGTAATTCAGCCTCACAACTGATTTTTTTCCTAAGCTATCTTCAAAAATAATTAAAAATTTGTGGAGAATATTTTTAATATCTAAGCTTTCTGTAATATTTTTAAACTGGAGAGGTCAAAACACTTTGCATGTGAGTGTGTCTGTCCTGATTTAATAAACAGAAAAACTAAGTTTTATTTGTCTAAATTTAATATGCAGACCATTCTTGGCAGTGATACACCTAGTGCAAGACTGCACAGCAATGTGTAGATGGTGATTCTCTCGCCAACTAAATCCAACAGGCTGCTGTTTCAGAGCATTGCTTGCTTGATATCAAACAAGGAATGGACTAAAATCAGAACTGGAAATAGTCCATTGGTCCCAAATAAAATCATTTTTTAAACATTTGTAAAACATCCAAAATATTTTATTTTCAAGTCTGTCCAGAAAAAAAAAAAAAAAAATTACATTTCAAAATTCTAGTTATATCTAGCCACAAAAGTACATTATAGTAGCTTTATCTGCTTACTTTCATGCTATCTTGAAGGCAAATTTTTCATAACTGATACAAAATTTCTTGACATAGATCAGAGAGATCACTCACCTGTTTTCAATAAAAATACTAATTCCTCTACCTGATCATGTAAACTGGTAACTACTTGTATAAGAGACAGTCCTGCCAATCACACCTGCAACTTTGTCTTCAGTGAACACTGAGAAAATTAAACACTTTTCAAGATCAAACTTATAAAAAGAGATATTACTAGCAAAGCCTCCACCAAAGCTATACTACTGTGATTTTGCAGTGTGTGTTGAGGCCAGTGATGAAGTGAATCTGACATATGGAAAGGCTTGGAAAAAAAAAAAAAAACAAGCAGAGAGACTTGGGGAGCAATTTGGTTACTGAAACACCAATGTATCAGTATTATGTAGCTCCTTTGAAGGGTACTAAGATTTGTGGACTTTGTAGGATATATGAGATAAAAGGTTACAGAACATACTTAATACCAGGAGAGTAGATTGTGGATCTCTGCACTTTCCAGTGTTGAGATACTCATTGAAGTCATTGAAATCAAAGCAAAATTGGGAACAAAACACTTAAGTTTAAAGTAGCTTCCCCTAAAATCTACTCTCAGTTACCTTCAAGAAGGTTATGCTCATGAGACTTGGGCTTCTGGTCATGCCCACATCCTTCAATTGAACTCATTTCCTTGATCATACCTAAATTTGAACATGAACCAAAAAGATGATGTTTTTCTAACTAATCCTAGGATTTAATAGCTGCAATTATGCTGAGCACATCTAGTGCACTCACAAGATCAGATATTTCTGCTATTTTCTTTGAAAATCTGGCTGCAGAAATATAATGCTTCCCAATACACTAAAAATGTTCTAGTGACTAAATCTGTTACCTTAGAAATTCCTTTTCTAAATGCATTGAAACTTAGATTTTCCTCTTTCCATAAAGAGGACAAATCACAAGCTACTAGCTACTAGATAGGGAAAGATGGATGCTTTCTCCATTTCCTATTGAAGCTGTACAGAAAGATCTTCAGGCTCAGGCAGGGTAAGCAGGAGGAAAGTGATGATGTAGCAGTTAGATTGCTTTTCCAGGAGAGATGTTCTGGCCCAAGTGCTTGAAATGGTCTATGCATTTTGTATTAAACAGTTAATGGATAAAATATATAAACTGATCTAGCAAGTGGTTAGGTCCTCTCATGGGAGTGGCTGAGATTACAGCTGAGAGAAAAGAACAACAATTTATTGAGATTCTATAGATTTCTATGACAAAAAGCTCCTTCCTTATAAAGGTCATATGTGAAGAAATCAAGAGCAAGAGAAAAAGAATAGTTTTTGAGAGATAATGTACTGTTAGTGCTCAACATAGAGGACAGAGGAGAAAAGACCATTCCTACGCCCATCAGTTGGTGAAAATGGACCTTCACAATGCCTCAGAGCAATCATCCCATATTTAAGAAAATGTTATTTAGTTTTTGCACTATAGTGATTTTCCATTTTAATTTAAAAGTTCTATACCAGAAGTAAAAACACATCACTAAAATATCAGTGTTATTTTACTTCACAAAGAAATAACAGCTTCAGCATTTACATATTCTGTGACACTCATGTAAATCAATGCACTTACAGCGAGAGCCTTAAAGCAAGTCTGGGCTGCTAGATTATGTTTTACAAATGTACTACAATATCTGTGAAGAGCAAATCTTGTTATTTTCTGCTTTAAATGTCGAGAATAAACCTGCAGATTTCTTGTCTGTCTGCCAGTGCTTGCTGGCAATTATTCAGACTGATATTCCTTACTGTACTTTTCCTTAAAGAAATCTAATTCAGTGAATATATTCACATTATATGCTTTTGACATGAAGGACTGTGGTTATTTGTTACACATTGTTAGTTATATTTGTAATATTTGATTTTTTAATTTTTAATCTTTAGTATATAATTCTTTCTAGAATTGTGATAAAAGTCATTCCTTTTTTTTTTTTTTTTTTTTTTAAATAATTTTATCATTTTTATTCTGTCAAGATTTTTTTGAATATAAGTGATAGATAACCAAAATATAATTAGGACTTTAGAAGTGAAAAAAGTTGTTACTTGTTCAAAGTAGCTAGAGTATAGTGAATTGTCTTGTATAGCAGGTAACATTTTATCAGAAATTAAAAACTGAGGGAAGAAGACATATCTTCAGATATGGGATGCAGATAAATATCATTTCAGATATATATTTTTTTCAGGTTGTGAAAATTTGCTGTTGTTCTGCTCTGTTTTCTGTAGCATTACATCACCACAACTGCAAAATTGCTCTTGCCCTTTTTTGCCCTCATAAAAATCTTTGGTTCCTCTTTCAAATTTTACAGAGATATATTCTCACCTCCCACACTTCTTAATTCTGCAGAACGTTCTTCCAGTGAAGATGTTATCCAGATGCAGAGCACTGACAAATGAGTCTGGCACTTTGAACTTGTTGAGTACATGATGTGGACATCTCAGTGCAGCTTTACAGGAAGAGGTAGCAATTGTCCCCATCAATATTGTAAAAGGCCAGAAATATAAAGTCAAAGTAATATGAACACCTGAATAACATTTCATGTTTCCAATGAGCAGCATAGTCCTAGAGTATAAATATTATAGTGGAACAGATTTTTTTTTTAAGAATTTAGTGAGCTTTATTGAATTTTAGTTAATTCAGCTTTTTATTAGATAGCTAATAACAACCCAAATCTGCTTACACATAACAAGAAAGAAATATAAACAAAACAGAGGAAAAACAAATAAAAGACATACGGAGACAGCCTGAAATATCTGTAACAGTTTATGAAGCACAGATTAATAATAAGATCAGGCTATGCAAGTATCCTATAGTTTAAACCACAAGTACTTTAAAGTAGGTTACTATTCAAGAGTACTCCAAAGAGTCATTCATCACAAGGACAAAAATATAATCTTACAAGTGGTTGGATAATTCTGACAAGGTTAAAACCTCTAAATGGCAATATTCCATGTAGAATTGTTAACAGGAGGCAGAAATGTTCTTCCCTGGGGAAAAAAATAGAGATGGAAACTCATCTCAAAACTATTCTACTGAAGATGAGCTAATGCATTAGCAATTTTTACTTTCCTGAGCTCATAGTCATCAGTCATCTCTGTTACTGCAAAACTGATTTCAGTCA